GAATAAAAGCAGCTGCATACGTGCTCATTTTGAACATGCACTTTTTTACCCAAGTTGCTTCAAGCCAAAACACAACAGAGCTGCGCTTTGCATTTTCTCTTTAAATAGAACAGTCAGCAAGAAAACACGCTTCTAAAAACAACATCCAGATGATGAAAACGTGTTAATGGTTCATTTCATGGGGGGAAAAAATCACAACAATGTATGTTTTTAATGTTGTTGTTGTTATTTTCAGCCTCAGAGCTCTGATGATATTTTGGTGGCATCAGCCGAGTGTCCAAGTGACGACGAGGATCTGGAAGAGTGTGAACCAGGAACAGGTGGGTTGACTTTAAAAAAACAAACAAGGGAGTGATGATTTTCACGCTCTTCATCAAGATTTTGAACGAATCAAATTCTCCTTTTTAGCATTCATGTTRCTGTTTTTCAAAGCGAGCCGTCTCTCATGTGACCAATTGTTCCAGCTCCGTTCCTCTGTGTTCGTCTGTGAATCACTCAGATMGAAGGAGAACTCGTTGAGACGGGACGATAGCTTGTGACAGAAACACGCTCAGGAACTTAAGAATGAGCCTGACCTTTATKATGAGAGCCTCCGTTAATAATATGACCTTATCAGAAGTGTTTGTTGTTGGCCGGCCCTGCGATCTGTGACTGAAATAAAGATGAAAGAGAACCTAGCAGCTATAAATATGTCTGCAGCTTCTCCACAACCACACGCCATTCTGATCTCTAAGCCTGCAAAACGTGGAAAATATAAGTATTATAGAATAGAAAGAAAACAGCATTGATTGTTTAAATGCTGTCTGACTCTTTGCTACTGTGCAAAGTTTGAAATTATCTTTTTTTTGTCTAAGGAGCCAGATTTATTTGTAAATGTTGAATAATATTTTTCAGTTCTGTGGACTTTTTCACTCATTTTCTCTCCAGTTTTTAGAGACGTTTTCATTTATTTCTTTTCCRTTTTGTTGTTGAGCCACTTAACTTTGACCTTTGAATCATCGGAGCATGAAAAAGTTCCTAAACTGAAGATCTGAACCAGAGTTGTGTCGACAAAACATAAAACTTTGCTAAAATCCAATGTTTTATTGGTCCTTAAAGGCACCCTGTCTCAAAAACACACTTTGTTCCCATTTATTTGCTGAATTTATAAAAAAAAATTGTGACCCTGTGTCCAACAGACACTAAAARGTATTAGTTAACACTAACACTAGATTTGTTTAATCACCTGAAACACACCGCCATGAACCAGAGTTCTAGAAAAACCAGAAAATGCAAGCTGAGGACACAACGTCAGCTACAACAAACTCTCTTCCTTCCAATCCTGGAAACAAATCAAAACTCAGCCGAGCATCCATGATGCACTCAGTAAATCTGTCCCTCATGGCAAAGTAAGAGTGGAAGGAGATAACTTAAGGCGGGCCTTGACTGTTAAAAGGAAGAAGTGAGTTTGATTGATGATTTGTCAGCATAATTTCAGAAAACAGGGTAACTGATTTAAAGTCAAAAACATGCAAGTGCAATTATCTATTAATTTTTATCAACTTAAAGTGCACGTGACTTTAAATTTTTGTATCAAATATAAATCCAGTTTTTGGGAAAGATAACATTAATACCATATTTCAAAAAAAAAAAAGATTTCCCACCACTGAGATGAACAATTGAAGAGATATTCACATGTGAAGTAACAGGAAGTGACATTATTAGCCATTATCAGTCCTATAGAATGGCTTCAGACTGTCAGCTGGTTAGTATGAGYCATAAAGCCACTAAGCTTTTTTATGCAATTTGGTTAATATGAGGCATAAAGCCACTAAGGTTAGTTTTAGCGAAAATGACATGGGCTACGATAGAATAGACCAGACTCCAGCGGTAGCAGATTGTTGCATTCCAATGTATATGGCACTGGTAACCCACTAGGGGGTACAGTTGGGACAGTCTGAAACCATTCTATGGGACTGATAACCGCTAATAACATCCATTTAATGGACTGATAACATCRGAACCAGCTGAATATATATGCCAGTTATGCAACAAAATGGATAAAATCATCTGTATTATGCCAAGTTTCTTAAATATAAAGGTGTTTTCTTTGACTTTTTGTATTTGAAGGATATGCATGTCACAGACACTTTAATGCCACAGTTAATCATGATAAAAAAATGTTTGTTTTTATTTTTGCCAAATTTGCTCAACCCTCAGGTCGAGTTTTTGAGGTCAGGCACTCTTCTTTTTGTTCTCAACATGTAATTTTTTCATTTTAGCACACACTACAGAAGCACAATGGCTCAGTGGTTTGCACTGATGCATCARAGCAAGAAGGTTCTAGTTCAATCCCTGGTTCCGACCCAGGGTCTTTCTGTATGGAGTTTGCATGTCCTCCTTGTGCTTGCGCGAGTTTCCTTCAGGTACTCTGGTTTCCTACCACATACCAAAAACACACATGTTAGGCTGCCTTCAGACCCAGGTCCATAATTAATTGAAGGCAAATAAATAAATACAGGAAATAAACAAAGAATTAATTAAAAACCAAGCCAAGTCCAAAAGTACTACCTTKAGAAAGGCTAATAAGACATTGATCAAGACAACTAAGAGACCACAGAGAGTCCAGCTTCCTGGAATTGGCACATATAGACATTAGGGGTGGGCTTAAATCTTCTGCACACAGTGTGTGTCTAAAAGGCTTGCTGTCTCTGAATATATGTGTTTAAAGATGTAAACAGGGCTGAAGTTCATACTTAATAACTGTGATTCCTTCAAACAATAACCTGTCTGCTCTCTTGTCCTCCCTGATCTTCTGCCCACAGATGTGCGTTCAGCTGCTGCAGTTTGTGGCAAATTTAATTTACTGATCTCTTCTTATCTGTTGTGTGCTTCGTATTCATCTGCAGCCTCTCACGAGGCCTTCTGTGTTTTGTGTCTGAATGTAAGCTCTTTGTGTTAATAAAGATTTCTGAATTGGACGCCCACACATGTAAGAAATGTGGTTTTAGGAGAGCGATGAGTATCGCTGATAAACCAGTCAGTTTTGGTGGTAATGTTTGATGTCTGTACCTCCATGTTGGTTCTGTCCAGTCCGAGTTCTAATTTAGGATCCCCTGCCTCTTCTGTTTCCTTTCTAGGAGGTGAATTAGTGTTGCCTATTATAACAGTGGATTCCCTTGAGCCCCCATCCATCGCCACCCGTTACCCTGTCATCCCTCCTCCTCCTACCCTCCTCTCCCCTCTTGAGACCACCAAAGAGTCCTTGATCCTCCCTCCTCACCCTTCCTGCCCCCCGGACCAGGAGGACTGCGGTGACCCTGTGGAAGTCTCGGCCTTCGGCTCGGGGGAGATGACGGAATCTGACGACGAGGACTTTTACAGTAATAATAAGAACTCCCCCATGGTCACTGACAGGACAGTCCTTCCTCCACCCCCGGCCGCCGGCGACGGTGGAGTCCATAAACCCCGCCCCCTGCCCCCTTTTGTTCCCACCACCAACCCTGACCAGCTCCACATCCCCGCAGGCAAAAAGCACAACCGCGACCAGGTGCTCCTGCCCCCTGCCCCTCCATCCTCCCGAAACACGCCAGGACTAACGTACCCCCCCAATTTTCCCCATGTGCCCACAGCCAGCCCCACCYCCGCCGACGAAAAGAACCAGCCTGGCGCCGTGGAGGTGATCAGGGAGTCCAGCAGCACCACGGGAATGGTGGTCGGCATTGTGGCTGCCGCTGCCCTCTGCATCCTCATCCTCCTCTACGCCATGTACAAGTACCGGAACCGGGATGAGGGCTCGTACCCGGCCGACCAGAGCCATGGCTTTGCCAACAACTCCACGGCGGAGGGCAATGGCGCCGTGGTTAAAGACAAAAGCACAGCCACTGCCTCTGTGGCGAAGGCCATCACAAAAGGCAAAAAGAACAAAGACAAGGAGTACTACGTTTGAAACGACAGGAGGACAGGCAGGTGAAGCGGGGGGGGACTGAGCACTGCTGCCTGAATTTGTCAGGAAGATCAGAAAAGTCACAAGAAATGGACTGCACAAAGCAAGAACATATATTACTTTTACATAATTTAAGGTTGCCCAGCTCTCCATGGGGATCAATTCTTCTCTGTGACACAAGATCRGACTCATCGTCTGTGTCAAATATGGGCACTCAAGTCTGCATCCACCATTTCTCTGTTGGTGAATGATTTCATTTTATGTTTTTAACTAGCAAGTAAAGGGGAAAACATCCATTTTTGGCTTTGTATATAGCATGGAAATGTGGAGGAGAGCGCTGAGAACATCCAGTTTCTTTGGACTTCTTTGTAATTCCTGAGTCTCAATGTCCCCATTATGATACATGAGGCAGAACAGGCCAGTTATTGAATTTTTATGGTAGATGAGCTGAGCGCTGCCCCGGCAGTCATCCCAAGTGAGCACGCTGAAAAGAGAACGCCTTTACTTGGATAAGWCATCACATCTCCAGCCTCCACGTTTTACGTTATGTGACTCTGAATCCCCCCACAATCAGTGTGTGTATGTCCAAAAGAAATATTATTCTGCTGCTGCTGCTGTAAAGGACACAATGTTGTTGTTGTTTTGTTTTTGTTTGTTTTTTTTTTTTTTTTTATTACAGCAAGCTGAAAGTGATGATCAAACGGCTCCCCTTAGTGTGGACAGTGAATCTTTTCGGTTTGATGAATCCGAAACGTTGCTTGTGTGAGAAAATGCAGTCAGTCTGCTGTTCCAAATAGGGATAATTGTGAACAAATTTTRTGACGYACACAAGCAAAGGTTGTTGTATTTTCCCTCTATACACACTAATTGTATGTACTGTACATATAAAGGTTAGCAGATTGACAGAGCGTTCTTAAAATGATGAAGATGTGAGGAAAAAGATAGAAGCATCCAGGATGCTGTGCCCCCCACCCCCCAACATTCCTTCACGACGGCGTCCAAACCGATTTGGTCCGAGGAGCTTTGAGAAGCACAGAATCACATTTCAAGAAGATTTTCTGCTCCTCCCCAGAGGCTGCTTCACTCACAGTCTTTTCTTTTCTGCTAAACCGTCCTTGGATAATTTAAAACCCGACGTAAAATGGAAGCATCTTTCAGAGGTGAATCTATTGTAAAGCAGCCAAACATGTTTGTTTTTTTATTATTATTATACATAAGTTACCAAAAGATTATTCTATTTGATGATTAATTACCGAATTTGTGAAATGTAATGATATTTTGATGTATCTTGTTGCCACTCTTCTGAACGCGTCACGTTTTATTTTTTTCCTTTATTTTTTCGGTTGCTTTCTTAATCCGGACATGAAAAAAAAGCACACTTTCCTCAAACAGCTGCGAACATCTTACGGTTTTAAATTATTTAAATGCTCGATTTATGCAGCGAAAACACAAAGATGAAACAAATCAATGTTTTTTTTGTTTTGTTTTTTTTCGTGCATTTTCTATTTGCTGGATCTGATGATATGAAGCCATTCTTTCAGATTTAGTTATTTATTCATGCTCTGTGATTTCCTGTTTCTTTTTTATATTTTTTTATGAAAGTGCCATTCAATGTGAGCTGCTCAACGCTCAGAAAATACTCCATTCCTCACTCATTGCTATTGTATAGTGTTCATGTGAAATGGATCTTAATATGTGTACAGAACGTGGATAAAGATGAAAAATACACTTGATTATATACTTTGTACACACCTGCATCGTGTGGTGTTTTTAAAGAGGTTCATAAAGAAATTTCATGCTGTGAGTTCTGTGTTTAGAAGCATACATTGTGGACAGACAAACACCGACAAAAAAAGCCGTACTGGTCTGTACAGAGTTCTGACCGCAATGTACAAGACAGAGTGTCAGTGGGAGATAACTGATGGCAGTTCTGCATTTTTCGTCATGCACATCTGTAAGTCATGAGAATTTAAGTATAAATCAGCCTTGATGTTACTGGAATCACAGTGAGGAGATACGGCTTCCCCTAATTTTTTACTTGTTTATCATTAGCTGCTGCTAATTGTTTTACATGAAGCATTTTAGCATTACCATCTGCTAAATTTTTTACGTTTAGCTTTAGCAAAGCTATAAGTTGGTTAGCGGTTTATGAGTTAGCGGAGCTAACATTTTAGTTAGCTGTGCCCACTGGAAACTGCACGTTGAAAGGTCACAATCCTTACTGATATATGACCAAGTGACATGGGTGTTGGGTGATGTCCGGGCTGGTACTAGACMTTTTAATGGGAAAAATTGTGGATCACAGAGAGTTCATAGGCATATWTAGTACATCTCTTTTGGACTGGTGTCTTGTTGAAAGTCTGTACCAGGTTTTTGTTTAAGGAGAGGTAAGACCTGCTGATGACCTACAGGTACCATCAGGTTTCCTCGACCAAACCTGAAGTGAAACCTTGTATCTCCTCAATGATTCCAGTAACGTCGAGGCTGATTTATACTTAAATTCTCATGACTTACAGACGTGCATGACAAAAATTGCATAACTGCCATCAGTTATCTCCCACTGACACCCTGTCTTGTACATTGCCGTCAGAACTCTGTACAGACCAGTACGGCTCTCGTGATTGGTCAGACCTTTGTGGGCGTTTGTTCATGTGGAACAGCGCATTCTTATTGTCACACTAACTCACATTCTAAAAGACAAGATGCACAGTGGTGAAAGCTAAATTAAGAAATTATATTAATAAACAAAACTAAATTGACTGTAAAGAATAAAATGACAGTATAACAGTATAAATAACATCAGAGCTGACAATAATAAAATAATACAACTATGTTACACATACAGTGTATCAGGATATGTTATAGAACAAGTGATTACAAATGTAATTATTTCATTTCTTACAATGATGGCAGGAAGGTTATTAGACTTGAGAATATTTTGTGATAGATTAAATACAACAAATTCACACTGGTGTAATCTACAAGGATCACACTTTGATAACTAGAGAGGTTAACATAATTCAACATGAGGAACCCATCTCCCACACAAATAATGGGTCAGAGAATGTGTTTTAAAAAATGGATCTTACACTCGAGTTTCATCATCATATTTTTCCTGCCTCGTCCCTCTCACTTCCTCAGCCTCACTGCTTTGGAGGCTGCACACTTTTGGTGATTTTACTAACGTYGCAAAATCAAATATTCATCAAAACCAGTTTTGTTTACACCAGGTTGTTTTTACGGCATGATGTCGTGAGTAAAGTTCGAGTCTAAAAGTTGCAAAGAATGAAGCCAGCTGAGTTTTGAGTCTGTGGTGTTGGTGAATCACCGTGATTAAATCAGGGCTGCAGTGTTTGCACTGATCAGCATGACTTGGGTCCTCCAGTCAATTGGACAAATTGAGCTTAAGTGTCAACAGGCTCAGAGTCAGTTTTGGTTCAGTGACTGAGGCCAGATTTGTTCCATGTTTTGGCTGCATTGGTTTTGGCCAGTCGACACACAAAACTGGCACTTTGTGCTCCATTTGGTTTAACGGTGCAACACGAGTGATGATCTGAAACAAACGTCAGCTTRTGTTTCCTCACCTGGACTCAGTGAACTGAGCTCGACAGGAAGTACTTCATGTTGGACTTCACTGATGGGATTTACTCTGGCCTGAAGACAGGCTAATATGGTTACTTACAGACCCATATTAGACCTCTGTTACAGGTTATAGTTGTTTCTGTGTGAAATACAGTTATCTTAAAAACACCATAATGCACAGGCATTATGGGAGATGAAGTTTATGGTCAATGCTGGCTTTAAAGCAACTTATTTATCACTGTGTTATCCAACAAAATCGCTTAGTTACTCGACTTAAATAGCTCTGGGGCAGGACAAGTATTATCTTTCACCTTTTAGATTTGGTTATATTATTGCATTTAATCATAAATTTAAAGTTTACCACTAAAAATATATTTTTAAGTAAACGTGGTGATGGTACAAAGACATCAGCTGCCTGCTCATGTTCAATAGGATCAAACCAGCTGCTCTTCTAGATCTTTTAACAACTGGCATCAGACAAAAAAATCATTTAAAACAAAATAAGCTGCAGGAGGAAGAGCTGCTCTGAGTCCTGCTCTGGACTGAGGAGCTGGACCACATTGCTCCTCACGAACAAACACACCCACGAAGTTCTAATCAATCACGCTCCGATCTGCAAGGTCAACATCGCAGAGTTCTGACTGGGGACAATGTGCACGATGAATGGATAGCAGTGGGAGAGCAAGCTGAAGTTACAGAGTTTTTTGTCACTCAGCAGGGGGAACAAGACATGCAACTCAAAGTATAAAACGAGCTTTAGCTTCTGCTGTAATATATATATATATATATATATATAT